TTACTTGTTCTCGTCAAAAGACGATGGCATAGGTTGATCGAGCAACGAGGGTTTTCCGTCTGGACCGGGCATTTTGGCGGTTTGCAATTGGCGTTATGGTGGTTGAAGAAGTCGCAATCGTGGAGTTGGGAATTGGTCGTGCGATTATTCCCCCAGGGTGCAGTAGTCGGCGATTTCGATGATGAAATGGACTCCGAGACCCTCCTAGCTTTCGGGGACTGGCTGCGCGGCGCCCAGAGCTTCGACCCTTGAGCAGATTTGCGGCAAATCCCGGCCGGCGCGGTGTGGCTTAACTTGCTCTCTCCTCAGCCACATTTTGTGCAGCTCGGATTCTTATCAAGACCTGTACCTTATGTATTTTCGAGCTGTTATCGGATAAGATAATTTGACGCACAGTCCATGCCTGATAAGACACCCCGGTCTGCAGTGTCAGCGATGTCGCCCTCAACTCCAGCGTGACGGACACTGACAGCAGGGGGAGCACGACGCCCTTGCTGACGCTACAGCAGGTACAAGGGTGCGTTAGCCAATCCACAGCGCCAGAGAAGCTGCTGACAGGGCGTGGATGGCAGCGCTGGCCAACACACCGCAAGAAAAACCGTCTGATGTTCTACCCCGCGAGCCCGACTTGCGCTCCGATATCTGCCCCACTATGAACAAATTTCCAGTTTAATTCAGGCCGGTCTGGTCCCGTTGATTAGGTTGTTGGGGCCCGCCGTTCGTGACTCTTTCTTGGACGATTCCTCTGCTTCTGTTCCGGTCTTGGTGACTCCTCTTCTTCTCACAAACACCTTTCCCAAGACATCAGGACAATGTCAGAGAACGCAGAGCCCCCCGTTGTCGCCGTCATGACCAACGGAACACTCAATGGCGTCAATGGCGACCACCCGCCGCGCCCAAGAACACCGCAGCCCGCCGGAATGTCCTTGACTGAGTACAGCGCCAACCCGTCCACGCCGCCAGAGGAGAGAAGGAGCCGCATCAAGGGTGTTGTTCCCGAGGACTTTCTGCTGCCTGATGGCCACCCAGACGTGAGAACAATCCCCAATGGCAATGCTAATGGCTCAATTGGGACCACGGCTAAACATTTGTGTGCGCGTCTAGTACCTCCGAATGATCGCCGCCGCGACGTCCCGCGTCTACGAAGCCTGCAAGGTCACACCGCTCCAGCCTGCCGTCAACCTCAGCAACCGACTCGAGTGCAATGTTCTACTCAAGCGCGAGGACCAGCAGCCCGTCTTCAGCTTCAAGCTGCGCGGCGCCTACAACAAGATGGCCCACCTCGACCCCGCCGTTAGCTGGAAGGGCGTCGTCTGTTGCTCCGCCGGTAACCACGCTCAGGGCGTCGCCTATTCGGCCCGCAAGCTCAAAATTCCCGCGACCATTGTCATGCCCGAAGCCACACCTAGCATCAAGCATCTGAACGTTGCGCGCCTGGGCGGACACGTTGTCTTGCACGGTGCCGACTTCGATGCTGCCAAGGAGGAGTGCGGCCGGAGAGCGGCGCAGGACGGCCTGATCAACATCCCGCCATTTGACGACCCGTACGTCATTGCGGGCCAGGGAACCATTGGTATGGAGCTGTTCGGCCAGATCAACATGTCCAAGCTCGATGCCATCTTTTGCTGTGTCGGAGGTGGTGGCCTCATCTCCGGAATCGGTGTCTACGTGAAGCGCATGGCGCCCCACGTTAAGATCATTGGTGTTGAGACCTACGACGCCAACGCTCTGGTCCAGTCCTTGGCCAAGGGAGAGCGAGTGGTGTTGGACAGCGTCGGCCTCTTTGCAGACGGTGCCGCCGTCAAGACCGTCGGCGAGGAGACGTTCCGCCTCTGCAAGGACGTTGTGGATGAGGTCATCCAAGTCACCACGGACGAGGTCTGCGCTGCCATCAAGGACATGTACGACGACACTCGCGCCGGTCTCGAGCCCGCCGGCGCCCTTTCCATTGCCGGCCTCAAGAAATACGTCGCTCAGAACCCGAGCGATCGCCGCAAGACCATGGTGGCTGTCACCTCTGGCGCCAACATGAACTTTGACAGGCTGCGTTTCGTCGCTGAGCGCGCCACCCTTGGTGAGGGTAAGGAGGCCCTGCTGGCGGTCAGCATTCCCGAGAAGCCCGGTGCCTTCTCCAACCTCATCACCAGCATCATGCCCCACTCCGTGACCGAGTTCTCATACCGCTACGCGACCGACGAAGTCGCCAACGTTCTTATTGGTATCTCCCTGACAGCCCCTGCATCGCAAAGAACGCAGGAGCTGCAGATGCTCTTGGAGCGCATTCGGTCGCACGACATGTCGGTGACGGATCTCTCGGGCGACGAGCTCGCCAAGAGCCACATCCGGTACCTCGTCGGTGGTCGCTCCAACGTGCCCAACGAGCGCCTGTACATGTTCAACTTCCCTGAGCGGCCCGGCGCTCTGGAGAAATTCCTTATGACCCTGCGTCCCAAGTTCAATATTAGTCTGTTCAACTACCGTAACTACGGTGGTGACACGGGTAAGATCTTGGCGGGCATTCTCTGCCCCGACAACGAGGTTGATCAATTGGAGACGTTCTTGACTGAGATTGGATACCCGTGGGAGGACTGCACCCAGTCGGCCGTCTTCAAGACTTTCCTCCGTAGTTAGAGGATTGAAGGCTTGGAAAACCCGTTTACGCGGTTGATTTTCGTACGGCGCTGGGCGTTTTTGCAAACATTTGGGTGACAGAAAACGGAACATTGGGAAATATCACGCATGCTGGTGCAACCTTGGGAAGAAGAAAAGCCGCCTCTTGTAGATAGACTATTCAAACTCAATTGAGGATATTTACATGACCTATTTTGTTTGCTTGCATGTCAACTGTACTTCGCTGCGCGCAACTTTCAAAATAATGTCATCCCATCGTCGATGCCTTTTCATCCGATACCGCAGCTGAGCGATAAGAGTTCTGGTGCCGATAAGCGCACGGATCTCAGCACCACGTGATGAACGCCAAGCCGTCGAAAATGCTCCAACTGAGGCCATCCAGGCCCCCTTCAACACCAGAGCAGTCGGCATCGCGAAGCTCCACGCCTCACCACGAAATACGGACCTCGTAGCTCCGGATAGCTCCCAATAGACAATTCTCGTGCTCTAGCACTCATCAGACTTCCTACTCACCAGAGGCCAAGCTCCCGACTCCCACCGTGTCCGACCTTTCCTCTCACAATCCGCCCGACGACGCATCGACCAGGAAAATCGAGAAAAGACTACACAATGGCTTCCTCCCTCGCCGCCTCCCTCAGGGCCCTGACCCTCAGCACCGCCCGCGCAACGATTCCCCGCGCCGCCAGCTCCGCTGCCACAACCACGGCGACGCGCGCCCTCTCGACGGCGATCCTGACGAAGCAGCCGGCGCAAAAGAGCGAGTCGATGCTCGCGCAGGTCGGAAAGAGCGCCTCGGGCGTGGCGAATGCCTTGGTGCAGCAGACGAGGGGGATGAAGGTGCACAGCTCCGTTAAGAAGAGGTGTGAGCACTGCAAGGTAAGCCTATACTTTTTCCATGTTCATGGGGGAGGGGGAAGGCCGTTGGGGGATGGGCTAGGTTGATTCGGGGAGGTGGAATTGAGGATATCCGGATGGACGACCAGAGGAGGATCCGCATTGTGAAGCTGAGCTTTGGTATGGACATTTTGCTAACTTCATGCGCCACAGATTGTTAGACGCAAGGCGGGCAAGAGACATAACGGATACTTGTACGTCATCTGCAAGGCGAACCCCAGACACAAGCAACGCCAATCTTGAGAGATTCTTCGGTTCTGGGTTCAGAGAGGGAGACTATCAACGAAGTGGTGTGTATGAAAACCTTGTACCATACAGAGAGGAGGGACCGGGGAAGCTCAGAGACATGGGGCATCGGGCGAGCGACAGCACGTGAGGATGTTGCGACTGTAGACAAGTTTTGAGAGACGTCCATGGGATCGATACCATTGCCCCACTGGAGTTTTTAGAAAGATCCCCCTCCATCACTGGGCACCTTGCAAGCTATAGAAGCAAATTGCAGCGAGGGTTAGACCTTTTGTGGTGTGTATTATACAAAGATCCTTTTTACTGGTTTTACAATGATGAGAACTTTACATTCCGTCGACGTATCGTTCCATGCCCTGCCACTCCGTCTTGCCTGTTGAGATGAGATAGCGGATGTGTCCCTGGAGCATAGTATTGTCAGTCCCGTAAGAAGGAGAGGTAAGGGGGCAGGGGACGTGGGAGCTTACAAGGTCCGTCACATCTCGGTGACGTTCGAACTCATCGCGGGCGTACCGTCTCGACTCAGCGCGGGTGTTTGGGTCGGCGATGCGCCGTGTGCCGCGGATGATTTCGCGGTAGAGGGATATGACGCGGGATCTCTGGAGGAACTATGGAAAGTGTGAGCATGTCCTCATACATTTTTCCACAGTCATTGATTGAAACTCTTGGTCGCTGTTCTCATGTGAAGAGCTGCAAAAGTGACATGAAGAGAGAGTATGATGGCAATGGTTCTTACATGATCCAGGCTCAAGGCCTTCTTCCCGAGCCGCGACCTCGCTGGCCGGGTAGAGTAGCGGCGGGCAATTGACCACAGGGGATTTTTGAAGGGCATTAGGGCCAAGGGATGGGAGGCTCCAACTACATCTGCGAATTGGGTGTGAGATTGAATACGTTTCGGCTCAATTCGACGTTGATCACCAATATCAAATGAGACTGCTGCGCTTTCATGCATTCAAAGCCAATTGGTGCTCTGGGCTGTAGTGTGGAAACTTTTTGGAGTGGATGAGGTCAGGACGGGGAAACTTCGGGACTTGAAGCCAGTGCCCAGCAAGGGTCTCGGTGACGGGAGACAGAGGTCTTTGGAGTTGGGTTGTCACTTTACACCGAGTTCTCATCCCCCAAATTAGGAGTTAAAGATTGCTTAGGTTAACTTTTCCTTCATTCTCTCTTCGCTTGAACTTGTAGATACGCCACGAGACTTTCATATTTTCCTCGTCTCCAACCGAAAGATGGCACCACCCCGCAAGCGCCGCAGGGCCCCAACGAACCCCATCGAGGCAGCGAACCGCAAATCCGATGCCGACTTTATCAGGGACCATCTCCAGCCCAGGTTCGTCTCACATCCACGCAGGCGTATCTCAAGATAGCCCCGAACCTCTCACGGGTGCTCACGTCTCACACAACGATGCCAGCCCCGAGTGGACGAAATGGACGCACCCCAAGAGCGGCACATCGTACACCCTCTCACTCAAGTCCCCGGCGCAGCTCGCACAGAGTGAGCTGAAAGCGTGCTTCGATCTCATCGACTACACCAGTGGAGCCGATTACCGCGCTTCGAAAGATGGGTGGCGGCCGGCGCATAAGATGAGGGAGATGAAGAGTGAAGGATTGCGATATATCCTCGTCAAAAAGTCGGGTTCATCAGCACCTGATGCAGCTACCGCTGGTAATGACGAGAGTGAGGTGTGCGGAAATGCTGCGGAGGACAAGATTTGTGGGTTCACGAGTCTTATGCCTACCTTTGAGGAGGGTGAGGCTGTGGTATACTGCTATGAGATCCACCTCCTAGAGGAATTACGAGGGTGAGTTTTAGGACGTTTCCTACGTGTTTTTTTGGTCGAAGGATGAGCCCGGGGGAGGGTAATCGGCGCGGGACCGGTAGGCGGGGGGCTCAGCCCATCGCGCTGTCAGCACCATCACGGAGGAGGATCGGGATCTCATGCCGGCAGCGCACACTTCCAACTGTCAATGCCGCGAAGAGAAGCTAACTAGAACACGATGCAGCACGGGCGTGGGTCGCACACTTATGGATTACCTCGTAAAAGTGGCGGAGAGCATTCCCATAATTGAAAAGGTGATGTTGACATGCTTCATCGCCAACGCAGATGCGCGCGCGTTCTATGAGAAGCTTGGCTTCGAGATTGATGCGCTGTCGCCTGTGGAGAGAAAGTTGAGATTCGGCAAGGTGTTTGTGCCGGATTATGTCATCATGAGCAAGAGGGTTCGTGATAAGAAGAAGGGTGAGGGGAAGGAAGATCTGGATGAGGTTGGTGCGGCGAATGAAGACGCGTGATGTGTATTTTGAGTCCATATGCCGGAGATTGCTCCGACATCAAGAACCATCCATCTTCGGTGACGGACTCCGTATCGCAAAAAGAGGGCCTGTGTACATGGGCAAACTCGATGTAGATTCCTAAGTACTAGACAGCATCGAGCGTTACACGATGGAGAGATGTTATATCGTCGCGTATCACTGACTGCCCATTTTGACAAGCAGTTTACCTAATGATCTAGCAGTGAAGCAAGTCAGCTTAGGGCAATGTCAGGCCATGAATAGAAGCTGAAGCCCGCTTGACAAAGCCTCATCGGAAGTCTCACTCCTTTCCTTGGGACCCTTCAAAATGGTAAGATGAGATGGAATGACAGGGGTTAGAGAGTGTAACCACAGGAACTTGCAAGGGGCTTAGAAAAGGGGACCACTGCAGGGACAGCCTGGAAATCCCAACCTAAAATCGGGGGACCGTTTCCACCCATTCGTCGGAATTATCGCAGCTATTGGATCCGAGTGCAGTGAGCTGGAGGAGCTGAGCTGAGCCTTGGCTTGGACAACTCACTCACCCTTCTGCTCAAGTTCTCACGCACCTTTCTCCACGACTCATGTTCGATCACCACGGTTAGGATCAACTCAGAGCTGTGTCTGCCTACGTTAGCTGTGCCGATCATTGTTGGCCCCGTCTTTGCCAGAGCCCGTTCACTGGAAACACGACGGAGTGAGGCCCGGCCCACACCACACCCGGCAGGCATTTCTTCCCAACTTGGAGGGAGGAAGCGAAGCGTTAAGACCACAGGCACTGCGATCAATGGCACTGTCTCTCATGTTGCACACTTTTCCACCACGTGCCAACAGTCAGCGGCTCCAAATCTCACAGTCTCGGGAAAATATACCTACACGAAAGAAGGTGAACTCAATACCCCTTACTTGGACAAGAAATGCCAAACACAGCCCTCAATCTGCCTCGCGAAATCCCCCTTGCCCGCCAAGCTCAGCCCTAGGACGCCAATCCAACATCGTCGGGCCTAGCGTCCCCGCCGTGATGCATGAGCCGGTTGCTGCCTCTGTTAGCAGAGTCTCCAATCACCGCTTCGACCAGCAAGCCACAGGGGGGGAACGAGAGGTCGAGGGGCATGCCGACTCGCCGAGTGTGTAATGGATTCACGGGTCATGGTCTGACATATTCTTCTTACGCCGGCGCTGATCGACTACAAAGTTCTTGCCATGGCTCGGACGCACAGGATTCAGGCAGCCGACAGGTGAGTAAAGGAGTTGTGGGGATGTTCATCTCTCCTTCCAAGACGCTACCAAGGCTACGAACTCCATGGGCCTGCCAGACTCCAGAGGAATGGTTAGAGAACCGGAGAAAAGTGCTTGACATGAGCAAAGCCTCATTCCCCCAAGCGAGAAGCACGTCCCTGTCTCAAAGTCATCAAAAACGCCTATTGGCGTTGTCTAGCAGCAGCCTACACTAGCGCATGTGTGGACTGGACTGGGGACGAGGTAATTTGTATTGAAGCTTGTTTTTATTCCCATATTTTTTTTCAGCTACGAGATCAAGGTACTTTTATTGTGTGACCACTGGTGACTTAAGCCACTACTTGGGCACCTCCCGTTAAACCAAATGCGGCCACTCTTGAGATGTGATCGGCCGTCTGCATTCGTCCAACCCGTATTGAGGCCTTCAGCCATCAGCCCGTTTGTCGAAGCGTTGCTCGCGCCTTGTCTTACATGAAGCCCACTGGCTGCTGTATATCAGACCACGGAATCCCTCACCCTCGCTCTTTGGCTTTTGGACGCTCTCTTCGACGTTTCTCTGTTTCTGGAACTTCTGCCCTCCAACGGTCACCTTCAGCACCCATTAGCACCAGTATCAAGCATCGCAACCCGCCAACATGGACTACTCACAGCAACCCAAGGCGGAGTACCAGCAGCCCCAGATGCAGCCTCAAATGCAACCGCAGCAGCAACAGCAGCAGTACTACGAGCAACAACAGCCTCAACAGCAGCAGCTCCAGCACCAGCCCCATCCCCAGCACCAGCAGACAATGCAGCAAGAATACGTTCAAGGCGCCAATGTCCAGACCCAAGAATGGCAGTCAAGCTTGATGGACTGCGGTCCTTGTGACACCTGTATCGTGGGAACCTGTCTCCCGTGCTTGCGTAAGTTCTCTCCTCCACGTTCTAAACCCAGGAGGCCTAACTAATACGCATCACCCAACAGTCCTCGGCAAGACCTCAGAGCGCATGCGCGACCCCACAATGCAGACGTACGAGGCCATCAACACAGACTGCCTGCTCATGTGCGGCATCACCTGGTTCACCGGCTGCGGCTGGATCTACGCCATGATGAAGCGCGGCGAGATCCGCGAGCGCTTCGGTATCAAGGGCTCCGGCGGCTCCGACTGCTGCGTGAGCTACTGGTGCGGGTGCTGCGCGCTCATCCAGCAGGACAAGGAGGTGCAGGCGCGGCTGTCGACGGGGCCTATTGTCCAGGGGTACCAACCGCAGAAGGAGGGCATGCACATGCCGCCACAGCAAGCTTGAGCAACGGCTCCGTGATGTTGGTTGCGAATGGGAAGGTGATGAGGGTAGATGAGGCTACGGCGTGGTTTTTGTCTTGGTAATGATGGTTATTGGTTATGGTATACCCGTGGGAATTGAAGGCAATGACACCGCCGACTCGGGTTGATGCGATTGTCATTCGACTGATAGTCTCGAGCACATGGGCTTGGTAATATTTCTTGCTAGTAATTGAGCTGGCTGAGCTTGATCAAACATGTTGATCATTCATCTGATACTTCTCGCCAAATCACTCGCTTCAGTGAATCACTGGAGTCACGACTGCTTGAAGCCCTTTTCGATCGAGCTCGCCTTGAACGGTGAATCATACCACGCTTGCCCACAACTACAAAACGGTTGTCGCGACATGCTTCTCTCTCCCCCTTGATTTCTCATCACTACCCCTCTCCAATGCAAAATTGACTTCTTCCTCATCTTTTCGCGAATATGGCCGCGATTGTTTCCCAGAATGTCGTTGCGCCAGCGGAAGAGATATGCGGTTGGATACCGCTCTCGAAGAATACTCTAGGGTAAAGCATCCCTTCCCCGAAGTGGCCCGTTCCGACGCCACGCAAGTAAGCAAGACAGACGAACGACATTAGCTAACAAGTCCACAGATTCTTACAAGAGCCCATCCCCTATGCCTGTATCAATCCACCCGCGGACTGTATCTCCTCCGGGTCCTACATGGGCTGCGGCAGCCCCATACCCACGACTTGCGTGCAGACAGCCAAAGCCCCGAGGGCATGTGAGCCCGGCCAGCTCTGCTGGTAAGTCGATCTTATATAGGATTTCCCAACTGAGATTTCATCGAAGCCACTAACAACGGACGGATAGTGGGCCATATCCTAACACGGACTGCTGGACTTGGCGTTCGATTGACAATACTGCAACTTACACACTCTTACAATGCAGCTCAGTCTCCGGTGTCGGGACTTTAATGGCAGAATCCTTCATACCAGGGGCCACAGTGACAGCCACCACGAAAGATGGTTCACCTCAAACCAGTGGCGACGCCAAGACGACCACAACGGCCGAACTATCACAACCCACAGCTGGAGTTACCATCGCCACAAAGACGAGTCTTCTGCTACCTGGAATCCCTTCGGAAACATCCGGTTCCTCTGGCGAAGCCTCGCCTGCTGCAATTACAGGGGCTATCGTCGGAGCACTTGCCTTTCTTGGCATCTTGTTAGGTGTGACCGTCTTCATCTGGAACCGGGCCAGGAAAAAGAAACGTCTGGCTCACGAGGCTGCGATTGGAGGGCCAGTGACGCCCATGAGAAAGAGAGATAGTATGATACCGTTCCATGCGGGGGCCATCAATGTTCCTGTGTCGTCTGTTTATGATTACGGCGGCCCATCGAAGAGCGGATCGAGAGGTGATTCTGGTGTTTTGGAAGGGGCGAGTAGGCCTCCTCCTCGACCACCTAGAAGTCCGGCCAGGGACATGAACGTCACTGAGGGTGGTTGGATTTAGTGGACGGGAAGACGGAAAGGGCTCTAAAGGTTGATCGCCTTTGAATACTGAGTTTTTTATGCCAAAGGGCTTGCCCTCAAATTTTCAGGAGCTCGCATAGCCTTAGATACTCCTCATGATAGCCCATGGCTTACACATGAAAGAAGCTAGAACTGTCTCTGCCAAGACGCTAGGTTACTTCAATGATACGACTTGAGCCAAATATCCAGAAAAGATGTGATAATCTCTTCCCGTAATAAAATCCTTCCAACCCCAGAGACATAGCTTACGCTTTAAACTCAACCTGTCTCAGTAGAGATCAACGGTTATTGGCGGGCTGATGGGATGCTCGAGTGCGAGGAAGTGCGAGCCAAGCCATTCGAGCCCGGCAGAACGTCGATGCCTAGAGCAGGAACAAGGAAATAGGATTGCGGGCCGCTGCCTGAGTCCCCACATCTAACCCGCAGAGAGATTGATAACTCTAAATGCTTGCACTAGCCTCCTTCACGGACTATCCACTCTTGTAAGCGCTACACTGCTTCGAGAGAATGAGCGAGGCGATGTCTAAGCTCCTTCCATCATGAGATTGGTGAAGTCGGATCAGGGCTTCGATTCTCTCAATCAGCCTCGGATAATCTGTCAATCGGCTTTAGAAAAAACGATTGGCTACATAGCAGACCTCGAAAGTTATCGACAGTCTAGAGGACATTATAAAAGGCAGGTGTCTTTGCGATGTTGAAGGAACTCGATTACAACATCAACAACCACAATTACAACATCATCACATTCAAACACACCCATAGCCATCCATCTACATCAACTCTTTCCTCACCAACCCCATAATCATCCTTTACAATGCAGTTCGCAAAGACCATCCTCCTCATCGCCGCAGCCATCGTCCCTGCCGTCATGGCCGGATGCAGTGGTGCCGCCCCTTACCAGGGAACTTGCGCGAGGTGCGCTGGCGAATGCCACAAAAGTAAGTAGCATCATCAAGTTGCTGGAAGACTCCCGCCGAGCGATCAAGTCCCAAGGTGCTAACTCAAAGTTTCTCTAAGACTTTGGCGGACCTGACCGCATGTCTTCCCTCCAGCGTGCTGGCTGCCAGACTAACTGCCTGTTGCACTGCAACGACTGCAACTAGACGGAATGGCTTGTTCCTTGGACTTCGATGGAGCGCAACTTCTAGGAGGTCAGGTGTCACATGGCAGGACGTTCACTTATTCTACCTATTTGGAGAAAAAGTCATGGTTTAGGCGACTCTGTCGATAGTCACATGTAGCTCACCAAGAGTTCGCAGTTAGATGAGAACAATTACATAAATTGCTCAAAACTGCGCCACCTCAGCCGCGGACGAATGTTGTCCAGTGATTGAATTGCCTTTCTTGTCCCCAGTCACGCAAGCACAGAGCATGACATATTGTCACTCTATACAATTTCTCCGATTGGGAGATACGTGTTGTCAATTAGAAGACCTATTCACTGCCTACCTCAGATGAGTCTTCCCTAAATCACGCTTCAAAAGGCCCAGTGAGCAAACCTGGATATGATAATCATATTTCCCAAAGACAGCGATTCCTGTTTCTGTATCCACAGAAAACCGAGATAAAAAAAAGTACCATTTGCAGCGATCCGAGTTTTCTATGAGTTTTCTATCAAAAAGCAACAAGCTGGGATGCAATGAAGTTGTTGGATTGGGACTGCGGACATTAGCAGAAATGTCACACAAAGAATACGATGGACTGAATGTTAGGGAAGGTTAGTGAGAGAGAGTGATGTTGACAATTGAATGATGTGTATGGAGCTAGCTGATATCCAGTTTGAGTGTCCTTCCGGCGGAGTCATGTAATCATATTGTTGACAGTGATGTAGACTCGACAAATCAGATATTTAGCCTTTTGCATCCTGATATTGGCCCATAGATTGCACAAGAGAAAAGGACAAAGGCCAAAAGTACATCAGAGCAATGTTGGCACACTTTTCTTTAGATCAAACCCCCGGATCGTTTTGAACAAATCTGACAACATGCATTCTAAAGTCTTTATCATCTCCCTCCTGGCAGCCGTGGCTTCTGCCACAATCACTTGCTCAGGCAACAATGCCTCGTCTGAGGTACTTACAGGATGATTGACACGTTGTACGTTACTGTTGAGCTTATACTGACATGAGTGTTCACTGCAGCCCAAGACATGCGTATACGACTCTCAGAAGAACGCCTGCGCCAAATTCTGTAGTGTACGTTCCCGTCGTAATCACAAAGAAGTCTTGACAAAGGCATTGACGTCTTGAATAGTCTGATTGCAATGGGTCATTGTCGTTTGTGTGCTTGCAGTAAGTCGTCAAACTCCTTCTACCTGGCTTTCATTTCCTAACAGCGTCAGAACCAAATATGGACAGGGAAACAACTTCGACTGCTGGTGCTACCCTCGGGTTTAAAGGCTGGTGTAAGATCGGCATCTGTCTGGTGATATAGATCTCCAGTCAATAGAAGTTGGGTTTATTTTCCCATGATGCAGCAGCTATAGTCTGGACCAAGCGAGTGTTATTTATACTACTTTTGTGCAGAGGAATGCAGGTTCGATACAACCCTTGGCATCATTGCCATTCTCAACGTCCAAGAACACTCCTCAGTGTTACGAGATTGATTGGCGGTTTGAGCGAGAATAATGGGATAGTGCTCTAGTCCTTGAGGTAGCGGCTCAAGTCCTAAGTTTTATCGTTCATAATTGTCGGATGACAACGACACGTATGAGAAGATGGAGTTGATCAATAACAATCGCCCACGGATAAAGGTCAAATTAGTAAGATTATGCTAGGGCTATTGGTTGAAAGTTAAATGGCTTAAGACTTCTAGGGTATGAATTCTTGCTCCAAATTGAGCAATTATATGCGCACGCGGCACTTTATCCTCCCGATACCCCAATTACGAAGAGAACATTCCACTTGTTGTATAAGAGATGTACTTGGATTTTAGCCGGAATACCTAGTATTAGTACAAGCTTTGTTGATTACCGATCTAAGCCGGGGAGAACGGGAAGGCCTAACAGAAATGAAGATCAGTGATTTTCTGCTCGGCACGGTCTACATAGCCGGTCAAAGTTCGGCCCAAGCACGAGTCATAGTCTCACGAACTCGGACCTCTGGTCTTTCCAGGGAAGGCAATTAGCCCGAATACAGCATACTAGAGTACATGTAACAACGACTTCCTTCATGTAAAGATAGGCTTCATGTACTTACTTGAGTAATTAGTTATCCAGTTGACTTCCATGGAAATGACTACAGCTTTATCTCGCAATGTTAACTCAACAAGTTGCGAGCGCAACTATCCTGAGAGTGCCGAATCCCATGTAAGGTGGGTCTCGCTCTCGCAACTCATTAAATTTGACTTTCTAGAAGTTATTGGATCCAAAAGCTACTAGGTATGACCGAGGCTCTTTCAATCCGCAATATCCGAAGTCGGTAGCGTAAGGGATTGAAGTTATGCTCGTATAAATATGGCTTCGGTTTGGTAGTAGCGAGTATCGGGAGTCTGACGTACACCGCACTCAACCCCTATATCCCAAAAACAATACGGATACGCAATTTTCACAGTAAAAACCAGAAGTATGCCATCTTGATTCACTCGATCTTTGTTTATTAGACACGAAGTGCCTTATCAACTAACAAAGACTAGAAAATGGTCAAGCTTTCCCTCCTCGCCCTCATCACCCCGGTGATGGCCGTCAATTGGGTCACCATCTCGGCCAAGGGAGACGGATCTTTCGACCAGTTCAACGCCTGGGCCAAGCGGACGTGCCAGAACGACCAGAAGGGACAGGTCTACAGCTCTTCTGACATTTACGGCGACCTGTCGCTCAACTGCTACAACGTCCCGCAGAGCTGGTGCGACTCGTACAAGGGAGGCAAGAACTACCACCCTAGTGGAGTGTCTTTTACCAGCCCCAAGGCTGGAGCTTGCTATCAGCAGTCATAGGGCGGTAGTTGAGACATTGGTCTTTCGTCTTTTGGATACTGCGTGATGGACGATGAGTGATTCTGGGCATGTGGACATACAGTCGTAACAGCGAATCACGTATCTTGCTCGATAGGTCTGGCTGAGAAAGATGGCGACTTGAGAATCGGAATTAAAGTTGGAAACAAAGCCTTGTATTGCCCGAAAGAACCTGATTCCTAATCCCTCTTCCATGAAGCATCTTTGTCACTAAGTGCCGCTGGACGCTAGACTTAAAGCCTCAATATGCCACCAGGTTAACAACCAGCTCAGGCTAAATGACTTAACATACATATATACTGCTATCGTCACGTGTTCGACGGGTGCCGGTCTCATCACACCCTCATCTCTGGATGAGCGGGCGGCCGTACCCTCCCAGATCTTGTTTCGGCATCTGCATAGATTTGAGAGTCTATACCACGGGGTGGGTACGTTTGGATACGACCACGTTCATCCGCGTGCCGCGCCATCTCTTGCCGACCTTCACGGCCAAGAGGCTCAAGTGGCGCTCGCACCAGTTTTCTTGGGTCCCCCGGCGGATGAGCCATGACACCAACGACAGCAATCTGCTCTTTGCCGTTGACTTGCGCCACGCGAACAGCAGCCCGAGTTTGCATGGGATCGTTCGGGCCTTGTCCGTTGGCAGGCCCCATTACGTTTGCTCGTTCATTGTGATGAAGTACTCGGTTTGCTTGAGCCGCTGGCTGGGTGCGGCGGTCGTACTGGAAATTAAATTGTTGGCCGGGTTGCGGGATGGGGTACTCCTGCATGGGGCCGGTTGGCCCCTGAGATCGACCTGGGCCCGTGACGTAGTCGTCAAAGGTCTTTGCTTCTGTGTTCCAGTCCTGTCTACCACGGAAGGGATGAGGGTATTGGGAACGAGTGCGTGTGCCGGGCGGAGGTACGCTCTGAAGATGTTCCGACAAGTCTTTTGCAGCAACTGGGCCGCGAGGTGTATGATATTGCTGTTTAGAGCCGACACGTTAGCTAATGAGCACTTAGACAATACAAAACCATCTGTCATATCGTCTCAAGTACAGTGCAGACTCCAAGCTGTCGGGTTGCGAGACCTACAAGTTGCTCCTCAGAGTTGTCCGTGTTGCGTCTTTGCGGTGTAGATTGCTTGTTGCCCATCCTGACGATTTGAAGGTCGTGATGCAATATAGAGACAAAATATAGAAGGGAAAAATGGTTACAAGGTTTGAAAAGATGCGGTCAATGCGATACGTCAACTCGACTAGAATCAGGAAAGAAAAGGCCACTTCTCCGGGATGTGGATGCTCTGAACAAAGAAGAAAGACCATGAGATGGGATATTTCTTATCTCTTAAGTACAGGTGAAGAACACTTTGAGCTTCTTGGCTCAAGATCTACAGGAAACACGGCGTTTGCCATAAATAGCAATGCGATGTTAATGGGCCGAGTAAAAGTGCTCTCTTCCAACATCAAATGATGAATCACAGCGTTTCACTCAAAGCAGTCCACAACTCAAACATCCAAGTAATCACACAGATAAGGTCAACTTTCGCAATCTCGTCAGCCGACCAATTGGCAATGAGCTTAGGGGTCAAAGTTGAGTTGAAAGCGTGGAGCGAAGCGCTGGTCAGTCGACCGAGAAGCGTGAGGGAGAACAACAACCCTGGTTCCAACATTGCCGCTGAAAAGCTGTGTGGATAAGTCGTTGACGATCCAATGACTGTTTCTAAGCTTAGCCTCCATGTTGGTTGGGCCGTTGCGAAAAAAGGGCCCCTTCCAACATCGACCGACTGATGAATTGACCAGGGTGAGAAAACAACCTGCTCACAAGACTGCCCCCGGAAATGCATGCTCAGAAGTTGCTGAGGATCCAATTATTGTTGGTCAATTTAGATTTTGTGTTGGTTTGGCCGGTGTGCTCGGTGACCCGGCAGGTTTCGGACCCTGGCTGTGACTGTTAGGCCGTGGTACCGGCACGGTGGTTCGGCGATGCGCTCGCAGGGTGGGCTGTGCAACGGTCGGCGCTTAATATGCGTGACCACTTGCAACCCCGGCCACGTGAGGATGTGACCTTTCCAACGGGTCAAAGTTGCGTGTATTTTCTCCTCACGAACTCACAGCCCCAGGCTGCCTCCCGTCTTATCTTTTAATCGTTGGCTCGTCCCATTCTTCAAAACTTCAAGTCATCAACTCTTCATCACCTCTCAATCAATTGCAACATCATATCATTTCACAAAGCATCAAGCATCACATATTGCGAGTTCTCATACTGCATTACACTTAGCATTATGGCGGTTGTCAGCATCACAACCAACACAGAGTCCAAGGCAACATCGCCCGTCGAGCCTTGGAAAGCCGCTCTAGATGAGGTAATTGCCATCCAGGAGAGTTGGGGAGACCAACAAGAATCGGAATATGCTTCAATCATTCTCAAAATGCTTCTCGCTTTTCCTGAAAAGGGTTACTTGGCCACACTTGAAGCTTCACTCCGCATAGGAGCAGATTACTGGGCCAAGTATCTCCCTTCCAGTGTGGATCCTCTCAACAAGCCTTATAGGTTGGCAGATAAAGGCTGGCGCATGTATCTTTATGGCTTTTACGAGACATTTCTTGAACAAGCGTGGCTGTTGCGTTATGACGACCCTCGGCAAGACTGCTTAGTGCACCTCTTGATGGACTTGCAAAATCTGCCCAAGGTTACATACCCGGACTATGGTGTACGTTATTGTTTTCTCTCTTTTTTTTCTTTCTTTTTCCATAGAAGTTGTCGCTTACTGTTTCTACAGAAAGAGTGGATTGCATACCACAATGATTCAGTTTGGGGGGAATTGACGGAAGATAAGTGGAATGCAAAGTTTGGTGAGTTAAGCCTCCACCATATTATTATGACTTCTTGACTCATCGTTGTTTCAAGCATCTGATCAAGCTGAACCGACAGAACCCGAGGCAAAGAAGGACTTCATTCTCACTTGTGATGAGTGGGTCAACTACTCCTGCTTCTTGGCTCGGTTTTCTGGCTCTGGAGCCCACATCGCGTATGAAGGTCAATCGAAATGGCCGAGCATCGATGTTGAGCTGGCACTTGAAAAGCCCATTCCTACTGGAAAGCTCGGCCAATGTAGACTGTTGGTGGCGTCGAATTGGTTGATTCATGCTGGCAAGTTCATCTACGAGGATATGAAGAAGACGGGCGCGGAGAGGTGGGGCCTAGGCAGATGGGGTCGATGGACGGAGGCAATTCGAGGTATCCTAAAGGCTGGAGGGCAGACTGACGAAGTGACCGCGAGACTCCAAGCGGCCTTGAACACGATCGTCTCGTTGACGTCAGATGCCAGTGAGGTTAAGGAGAGCACTGGAGCCGGAGAAAGCAGTGAGGGCGGTGAGGTGAAGGAGAGCATTGAGGTGAAGGAGAGCATTGAGGTGAAGGAGAGCATTGAGGTGAAGGAGAGCATTGAGGTGAAGGAGAGCATTGAGGTGAAGGAGAGCACTGAGGTAAAGGAGAGCGGTGAAGAAAGGAATAGTGGTGAGGTGAAGGAGGCCGGTGAGACGAGGTAGTTGTTGTAATTGTGAAATATATAGATCAGATATTCCAGGTTTTCTCCAAGCGCACAAAGATGTAATGCACTGGAATATTTAGCCTAGAGAGCTGTACAAATTGAACATAGACTTAGCATCCAACTCGTAATACTCCGGTCTGTTAGGACGAACGAGATATGTGTCACTTAAGATTTTGAACACGATTTTTGACATTGTTGGGGTAAGCTTTCAAACCGTTGCGATTTATGGGGCCTAGGTCGTGAGCTGTCATTGGGGAGCGGGAGGGGAGAAGGGAAGTTCCCTGAAGCCCAGTGGAGTGGTCTGTCGTGGATCAACGGGAGAGGTCACCTCCATCGCTGCCTTAGTTCGGAAATGGTTATAGGACATCAGCATTTGGTGTACGGGCCCCAAAAGCAGCGGAGCAGACGGGATGCACGCGAGGGATCCGTTGCTAGGACAAAAACGCAGTGTGGGCAGCATCAGCTGGACACGCCAAGCAACAAAGACAAATCAAGGCATGCACGGAGACAAGTAGACCACTTGTGGCGTGGACTTAGAGAGCAGGCATAGAGCATGACTCGCATAATCCCATCAAGTCGGTATGTTGCATGACGGCAAGGTTGCCGAGTGGTGATTTCTTTGGCGGGGAAATCGCGTCGAAAAGTGCGACAAGTATCTTGCTCCTGGGTTTGCTCCTCGCCAGCTTTGAACCTCGTAGGATCATGGTACTTGTCAATTAGTCTAGATCATTGAAAGTCAAAAGTACTAGTTTATATGACAAAGCGTCGGTGCTTCTCGCTCCTGACCGCGATTCTGTACGGAAAAGGTTTGACACGAGCAATCACACCTGGCAGCTGTTCGTATTTGACCTCAATCTCCCGTCCGTCTTCGTCCACCGCTCTTTGAATGTTGAAAACCGCCAAAAATTGCGCAATACATAAAAAGATTGTCTGGTCGGCAATATACCTTCCGGGACAAGCTCTGCGTCCGAATCCGTACACAACATCAGTTGGTGGAGGTTCACTGAACGGCTCGAAATACCGCTCAGGTTTGAACTTCATTGGGTCATGATATGTGTTGGGGTCGTGCATGAGCGACGCAGCTGCAGGAAACAAAAGCGTGTCCTTGGGTATGAAATAGCCGTTGTAAGTATCGTCTTCCGTAGTCAAGTGCGGGAAGCCCATGGGTGCAAGTGTGTGCCAGCGAAGTGCCTCTTGTGCTATAGCGTGAACGTATGGGAGGCTGTCTTTGTCAGAGAATGAAGGAAGACGTGAGTCGCCCACCACGCGGTCAATCTCATCCTGTGCTCTCTTTTGAACTTCTGGGTATACGACCAAGGCCGCAAAGATGGAGTACAGCATCGCGCCAGTCGTATCAGTGCCTGCATTTAGCATAGATGCAGCTGTCCAGCCGATAACGCTTTTCTCCTCGGGGTCAATCTTTCGATGAAGATCTTTGATCAAGCCAGCG